ATTTTTCTGATTTAAATTTGCAGTAAAACTTTGAAACTTAAAATTTTAAGAATTTTGCGAGTCTTTGAATTTAGTATTGGAAAAATATTTATAAACAAATTATTTGATATCACATTGTTTATATATATATTATAAGATTAATAGAGGAATTTGTACTGTGATATATTGAGCTGCGATAGGATAAATTAAAGTAGCATAGATATTTAGGAATGAGCAGAAAATTAGAAATAAAGTCGCGTAGTGAATAAGAAATGTAGAGTTAAATAGTATCAAATAGTATCAAGTCTTTTCCAGTATGGCAGGATAAGTATGGTTAAAGTATTTATTGTAAACTAATACCTGTATTCATAGTCAGACCTTGTACTTCAGACTTCCTTAAATTTATCTTTATGCTCAGCAGTCAATGAAATAATTCGTAAAGTATCTAAAGATAAATTTAAGGAAGCCTTAAACATAAAGCTATGAATACGAGTATAAGTCCCTTGGCAGTTGTAAGCTGAAAAGTAATAAAGTTCTATTTTATATCACATGAATGCATTTTATTGTAATAAATATAAATAAATTACAAAATATTTTACATTATTAATAACATATATACAAGTAGGGTGTCTGATAAAAAATTTACTACGTTTTTCTCAAAAATAATTAGAGGGAAAACACATATTCATCAAAATTGTAGGATAAGCAGAGTGTAATTTAATTTACGTTGTATTTATTATTATTTAGTTACATATTTTAATAAAACTAATTGTATGAATAAATTATTTAAATACTAAATACTAATTTAAATATTAAATGCATTTTTAGTAAATGACTCCTCAAATTAATAATCAAGAATATAATCTATTAGGTGTACAACTTTGCTTCCGCCATTTTTTTCCGAAATTCGAAGCTTTATTGTAAAAAACTGGTTATACATTTATGATTCAAAGTATTATCCATCGCTGGCCACTACTTTCTCCCATCTTTCGGGTAGCATACGAATCCCGCGTCGAAAAAACTGGTCATCTTTTGAGGCTATCCACGAATCGATCCAATTTTTTACTTCTTCATAAGACCGGAAGTGCTGGTCAGCCAGGTCGTGTGCCATTGATCGAAACAAGTGATAATCAGAGGGAGCAACGTCTGGAGAATACAGCGGGTGGAGTAGGACTTCCCATTTCAACGTTTTCAAGTATGTCTTGACCACTTTCGGCAACATGGGGTCGAGCATTGTCATGCTGCAAAATCACTTTATCGTGTCTCTCGTTGTATTGCGGCCGTTTATCTTTCAATGCTCGGCTCAAACGCATCAATTGCGTTCGATACCGATCGCCTGTGATTGTTTCAGTCGGTTTTAACAGTTCATAATACACTACGCCGAGCTGGTCCCACCAAATACAGAGCATGACCTTGGACGTCAAAATCATCGTTCTTGAAGCGTTGAAACCACTCACGACACGTTCTTTCACTAATAGCGGCCTCACCATAAGTATTTGAGAGCATTCGATGAGTCTTAGCCGCAGATTTCTTCATATTAAAGCAAAAAATTAAAACCTCTCGCAAATGACGAGAATTTGGCTCGTAACCTGACATTTTCAATCGAGAATAATTTTATGATGCTGACACAAATCGACTAATGTTTCTATGGAGTTATGTTGACAGATGCCCAAGTTTATTGTATGACGTCTATGATCTATTTATTTCGACCACCACTTACCACTAAAGCCATCTATAAGAAAACGGCGGAAGCAAAGTTGTACACCTAATATGTAAAAACATGATATATACAGTGATATAAAGATAATTAGAGTCAATGCGGTGGATGTAAGTTGCTGATAATCTTTTAATATTATATCAATTTCATATAAACTTATAGATAATATTTAATCAATTCACCTCATACAAACTCGATTAATTTTCTAGACTTGACAATTAATGTAAAAGATGACTCATTTATGTTTGATTAGTATCAAAAATCGACATTTTTAGCAGATTTCTAAATTATTTATTTCAATATCCGACTACTTCTCAAAAAAGGAGCATAATCTTTAATTTAGTAGATAAAGTATTTTTTCTATCTCATCCAGAATTTCACAAGAAAAATTTAGATTTTGTTATAAAAATGTTAATGGAAATGATTATCCTGTAAATTTCATTTTTAATAATATTAACATAAAAATTAAGACTTTGATAGGCAGATCTAATACTGTCTCAATTGACATTAATAGTGATGTACAAGAGAATAGATTAAAATGATTTTGTGTTCCATATATTGATGTAGTAATGAACAAACTAAGAATATAGATAGATAATAATTGTCAGAAGGTATCATTTTATAGCTTAAACAAACTCAATCAATTTATCAAAGTACAAAAGGATCAGTTAATAAATGAAGAAAAAAGAAGTGTAGTGTACAAAATTAATTGTAAGAATTGCAATGGTTCGTATGTGGGCCAGACAGGCAGAAAATTAAAAACTAGAATTATGGAACACAAAAACATATAAATGAGAAATCCTCTACGTTCAGTTATAACAAATCATAGATTGAGTGAAAATCACGATTTCGATTGGGATAATATAGAGATTTTAATATTAAAGAAAGATATTAAATAAACGCTTAGGAAAAATATTACAATAAACGCTTAATGTCAGAGATAATATTGGTGTACAACTTTGCTTCCGCCGTTTTCCTATAGATGGCTTTAGCGGTAAGTGGTGGTCGAAATAAATAGATCATAGACGTCATACAATAAACTTGGGCATCTGTCAACATAACCCCATAGAAACATTAGTCGATTTGTGGCTGCATCATAAAGTTATTCTCGATTGAAAATGTCAGTTTACGAGCCAAATTCTCGTCATTTGCAGGAGGTTTTAATTTTTTGCTTCAATATGAAGAAATCTGCGGCTGAGGCCGCTTTTAGTGAAAGAACGTGTCGTGAATGGTTTCAACGCTTCAAGAACGGTGATTTTGACGTCCAAGGTCATGCTCTGTATTTGGTGGGACCAGCTCGGCGTAGTGTATTATGAACTGTTAAAACCGACTGAAACAATCACAGGCGACCGGTATCGAACGCAATTGATGCGTTTGAGCCGAGCATTGAAAGACAAACGGCCGCAATACAACGAGAGACACGATAATGTGATTTTGTAGCATGACAATGCTCGACCCCATGTTGCGAAAGTGGTCAAGACATACTTGGAAACGTTGAAATGGGAAGTCCTACCCCACCCGCCATATTCTCCAGACGTTGCTCCCTCTGATTATCACTTGTTTCGATCAATGGCACACGGCCTGGCTGACCAGCACTTCCGGGCTTATGAAGAAGTAAAAAATTGGATCGATTCGTGGATAGCCTCAAAAGATGACCAGTTTTTTCGACGCGGGATTCGTACACTACCTGAAAGATGGGAGAAAGTAGTGGCCAGCGAAGGACAATACTTTGAATCATAAATATATAGCCAGTTTTTTACAATAAAGCCTCGAATTTCGGAAAAAAACGGCGGAAACAAAGTTGTACACCTAATATTAAAAGACAGACGAACAGTTTAAATATGAAGACAGACACGGAAATGTTAAGCAAATCTTTTATTGACCTAATAAATAACAAAAATACAATAGAGATTGTTTATTAACCAGAAAAGTCATTAGTTCTCATCGTCGTTTCACATTTGATCTATGATTTCTCATTATGTATTCGACTTAAACATAAAGACATTCTTTCTTCTTCTTAATATAACTAATGTATAGAATGTGAATAACAATATTTTAAGAATAATTAAATTATATTCTAAGCGATGCCAGTATTATATGTTTTTAACTACAACATTACCGAGGTGAAGAACTCTGTTAATATTTTGAATTACATTATATCCAAATTAATATGATCTTATCATAGAGTGGATATTATTTCATTACTATTGAGTCTGTAAACTGAGATGAGTTGAATTTCTACCACGGTTATGTCACTGGAATCTACATCAAATTATACTTTTTACTTATAATTGCGAAAGCCCCAGATAGTCAAACGAGATTTAGCATATGAAACAAATTGCACTGCATGTATTGTTTTCAACTGCATGTATTGTCGACAATTTGCTGTTATTGGAATCTAATGTGAACTGAGTTAGTAGGGCAAATAGATTTTATGATTTTACGAAATTGGAAGAGTATACATGAGAAATAATAAACTCGTGTAAGAGATATACATTGAGAAATAATAAACTCGTCACGTTAACAGCAAACTGACGGCACGTCATGCACGCATGATAACAACTTTGCCAAATTTGCCAAATTCTAAGGAAAACTTTACGTGACATCAGAACAATAGACAATTTGTGGAAATACCTTGGCTTTAGTTTGATGAAATTGAATGCGGAATAAGTGACAGCAAAATGGCAACATATTGCCCTTATTTGACTATCTGGGGCTGAAGATGATTCAAAACATGGAGTCGAAACGTCCTAAGTTTGTATGTGATGAACTGATCAAATATTAGAAGATTGATGTAATATTAAAAGATATATTAAAATGTAATATTAAAATATATGAAGATTGATGTAATATTAAAAGATTATCAGCAACCAGCGCATTGATTCGAATTACCTGTATATTCCTATGTCTTTACTGATTATATTCTTGATTATTAATTATATGAGAATATTTTGTAAAAATATTATAATGAATTATATATTAATATTTATTTGGATATTAAATAGAAAAATACTGATAAATTATCAGTTCAGTTAGTATACATATATTTATTAAATATTTATAAATATATTTCTTTTATTTGTTTCCGATTTAAAAAATTTATTTTTCTACACTTCCAAAACCTAAAAACCTAAAAAAAATCTATAAATTTTGGGTTTCTTTTAACGATTAAGCTTCAAGGTTTTTTTTAAGTGGCTAAGATAATGTCAGTTCTATTTTGAATACCTTAAATATTCTTTCTTTATCAGTAAAAGAAATTTTTTTTAATGAGATGAGGTAATTTTGGATCACTTTATCATAGTAACTTAATGAGCTGAATATCTTTATATTATACTATTTTTAAAAAAATTCAAATATTTTCAGGAATTATAAGTTAAAAGAATTTAAAGCGAATTCGATTGGATGCACTTGCAATGCGCTGTGGTATACACAATTTAAAGCCGTCGTACACAAATTGATGAAAAGTGTATGTTTAATATAAATACAGAAACGGATTAAATCCTCAATAATTATGAAATCCTCAATAATACATTTTATTCTGCTTTTAAGTAAGATCTGTATTTTTATAACTTGAAATATTTGAATTTTATTTTTACATGATTTAAATGAATGTACAACAGTTTTAACATGCACTAGTGTGTCCAACGGAATTCGCTATTAGACTATAAGTTTGAAATAAATTTTATTATTGCAATAAATGTTTAAAATATTTACTACATTGATCGAACCATGTTCGTAATTTTTGTGGAAAGCTTCTAACTTACAATCATAAAGAAAGAAGAGTAATTACTTTCAACTTTCTACTTCGGAAAATATAATAGAAAGAATACCAAATTTTTCGCGAAATAATGATTCAAGAGAGAAGAAGTCCAAGCAAGCTTTCCAGATTACACAGATACTGACTGCAGGGTTAGATTTAGATCAATAGAACATTTTGAACATTTATTATAATAATAGAAAAATTTGTTTCAGTATAGTCTGACTTCTTTTAGTTTAGTTTCTAAAAATAGTTTAGCTTCTGAATTTTTGAAAAAAATATTCTAATACAAAGATGTTCAATTCATTAAATTCAATGCAATGACAAAAAATACTCCTTTCTATTTAAAAAAAAAAACTTTATTGGTAGTAAAAAAAGCGAAATATATTTAAGAATTAATCAAAATTATTATAATATTAAAGTATATCCCTCTACTGATTATTCTATAATTTTGATGATGAGTCTTCCCGCTATCTCTAACCATTTTTGCAAAGAATGTGATTATCTTTTTATCAGATCCTCATTCTGTATAAATTTTTTATTTGCTAAAAATAATTATATAAATTTTAAAACATTTCTCAGATGTTTTCAAGATGTCATAATGTTCTCTGGAATATCTTACAATATATATATATATATTGGATTTTTTTATCAGTACTTTTTATGTTAAATTAATGTATGTAAATGTTTGCATATATTTGAAGAATAATTCTTTCGATTTTATAGAAATTTCTGGCCAGATCGGACCGTACTAAAAGTGGCGATATAAGCTTAGCTGAATTTATACACTATGTCCGCGAACATGAGAAAAATTTGCGATTGCAATTCTCCGATCTTGATAAAAATAAAGATGGTAAGTATACATTTTAATTACAGTTAATTAATTCTAAAAAAATTTATAAATTTGAGATTGAAAAACATTTTCCGAATCAAAATTTAAGATTGCAAAATATATATATATTTTTTAAAATAAAGTCTAATAATGTATCTAATACATTGTAATATTTATTTGTTATTTTACATATTGTATTTTACATGTTATTTAACATATAAAAAAATTATGTAAAGACTTAAACATACTTTATATATCATTCACAGGAAAAATAGATTTAGAAGAATTGATAAGGGCTTTCAAGGAGCTGGGAATAGAAATGACGCAGGAGGAAGCAACAAAATTATTACAACGGTAAAGCTTTATTAATAAATTATTAAGTAAAAGAAAAAATCCCATTTTTCAATTAGAACGAATCTTGATGCTTAATAATGTTTAATATAAAATTTTTAAATATATTTTTCTTTAAACTATCGATTCACAGTTTATCGGACTTGAACACAATCATAAACTGAGCTGTAAATAATATCGCAAATTACATTGATCATTAATTTAATAATGTTACTAATAAACATTTTAAAAAATTTATTTACATACGGAAAAATCACTTCAGCTAGGATTTAAACATAAAAGAAACCTTGGAATCTAGAAGTAAATTATCAATTTTATTTATCAATTTATTTATCAATTTTTTGAAATTATTTAAAATGTACTAATTATTGATTAAACATAATTAAATAAATAGTTAAGTAAATTACAATATGTTATTGTACCTACTATAAAGACTTTTTAAAACATTAAATATATAAACTTGTTAAATAATATTTTTAAAGCTATCACACATACGCATAAGTAGATATGTATTCTAATGAAAATATTAAGAAATAATGAAAAAAATCTGCTAAAAACTTTTTATTTAAATACTTCAAATTCAAGATAATTTATAATATATAATATAAAGTTTCATTGCGATGCAGAGATTAGTTGTTCTATAATATAAATAAACGAAATTGTTTTATCTATTTATTTATAGAATAACTAAACAGACAATCACAAAAACTTTGTATAAGTTATAAATTTTGAAGTACTTACATTAAAAAATTGAGATTTTTCTTAATATTGTAAAAAATAATTTAATTTTTATTAATATATAGACTAAATCAAAATGTGTTATTAAATAAAAATATAATTAAATATATTAATAAAAAGGCGCAAAGAGTTTGATAATTATAATTTATTTTGCAATTTAGTTTTAATTCCTACCATCGTTGAAAAGCCAATTTCACACAAAGTCGTGAAAGGGAGCAACGTTCATAATGAAATGTAATTTAACATTCTAAAATTGTTCACAACCTTCTTGTGAGTTATCCGTATTTTGGGAATCCCCCATCTTAATATATATTATCATAATTTAACAATATGTTACATTATACAATAAATTAATTTTATATATATATATATACATATATATATATATCTGCATAGTATGGATCAAGATGGAAGTCTTAATATTAGTTTCAACGAATGGCGGGATTTTCTTCTCTATGCACCAAGTACTACCTTGCTCGATATTATAGAATACTGGCATCATACCACGGTGAGTATTTCATATATAGTTTTTTTTGTAGATTAAGAAAAAATGTATAACATTATAATTAGTAACAATAAATAATAGAAATAATTATTTTAAGAAATAACTATTTTAGGGATTCCTTTAATTCATACAATACAATAAATATATAGAATCACGAAGCTATTAGGAGTCAGCGCTAGTACTGATTTGCGTAAAATATAACAATGATAAAGGTATAAATTTAATTAATTTTGACAATGATAAAGTTAAATAAAGTTAAATAAATTTAAATAATACAAAAAGATAAATATAGTAGGCTAATGAGAATCAGTAAATAAACAGCGCAATTATTTAATGAACAATCAATAATCAGATTGATGTTTTCTTTATTTTGAACATTTCGACTCTCTTTGGAATCCTTCTCAACAAGAATGATACCAGTATAATTAGCTCATATGTCCATAATGTTTAGTCACTCGCAAATTTACAAAGATACAGCGTTGTGACATTTTTAGAAAAAATCTTATTAGAGTGATAGATGCGTAAACAATTTAAATGACTTATATCACAGAACATGAAGCATTGTACTGAAACTTTGTTGACCATATTAAAACTTAAAAAATAGAAATGTTAAAATTAAATATAAAGATCACACATTTTTAGAACACGTCCGTATACGACGACGTGTCACTCAGATATGAACTATATGAACTATTTTCGAAGGAAGAAGTCACACAGTAAATATTAAGATAAATTTGCAATTATTAATAGAACAAAATACATTATATATTGTTGTTAAATCAAACGATAAGAACTGCAATAAAATATCATATAAGAAACTGTCAAAATTATTAAAATTGTAAAATAAAGAATTACATAATAAAATGAAAAGAAAAAGAAAAAATTCGATATAAAACATATTTCGTTAAAATTGTTACATTTTCGTCAACTGATAAAACTTTTGTCAAATAAAATTAAATTAAACCATAAATCTAAAAACTATATAAGTCAAGAGAAATTTTCAAGCTGCATTGATATGATACAATCCTTCTGTATCTGAACGTAAATTAAGGCATTCTTTTGCATGTGTATGAATGCCATTACCCAAATCAATCTTTTATTAAAAAAATTTCTCCTTATCTAAAATTTGAACGTTTTCCCAATCGAAGATAAATAAATTTAATTAATTCTGATTATAGTTAATAATATCAAATGTATTATTTGAATGTTGTATCATTTATATTACTTACTATATTTCTATATTACTTGAATATTTACGGAAATATACGGGTATTTGAATATTTGGCCGTAATATTTATTAAATAATGTACAACACACACGCGCGCACACACACACACACACACACACACACACACACACACACACACACACACACAGAGTGTCTCAGAGTGTCTCTTTAATTGTCCCAGTCAAATATCTCGAAAAATATGGAAGATACGGAAAAACGTTTCAAACAGAAGTTGTGAGATTTCAAGGCGAACACATAAGAGGATTGGTTTGATCTTAAATTGCGTCGCCAAGGTCAGGTCGAGATTACTTTGAATTTGTTTAATGGAACCCTCCATTTTTTATTACATATTCTCATCTTGAGAGTTTTACATTTACTTATGATATTTAAAAATATCATAGTACAAAATCTTTTCATTAAGTTTTTGAGTTAAAGACTTGAAAGTTATAGTATCGCTAATATTAGCATTACCAAAGGTGTTTGACCGATGGTCTCTAAAACCTCTTAAATTTGTTTAAATTTGTTTAAATTCATGATCTAGATAACAAGTCAAGATTAAAACTATTGGAGATAATTGTTTCTTTTATTTTCATTTTTACTAAAAATAGATTTTTATATAAAAATGAAAATAAGAAGATTCTCCAATTTCCCTTGATCTTGAAAAATGTTATAGGTCTTGATCTTGAACAATTCAAGAGGTCATTTAGTCATTAGTCAGATATTTTAAGTAATGTTAGCAGTACTGTAACCTTTCAAGCCTTATAACTTGAAAAATACTAAGGAGATCTTAAAGACGATCAATCATAATATAAGTAGAACTTAACACAGAGATGATTTACGTGTGATACATTACTACTATCAATATCTCACTCATGCGTGCTACACGTAAATTTTCGTATAACAATAACGTTTTAATTAGATGTCTAAATGCAATTCTGAGAATTCTACGTTGTATCTTCGTGCAACCTACTAATTTGTGGACTACTATTTCGTAAGTATACATTGAACAGCTATTATATGAAGCAAATATCAAGTTGTCATGATGTAATTCTAGAGCGCCATATTGGATTAAGAAATAGTAAAGATATCAATTTTGAAATTTTTTTTACGTTCTCGACATAAATTCCACTTCACAGACACGTATTAATGGGTATACTTCGATCCTGAAAAAGGATTTTCGAATCTGTAAAAAAAGAAAAAAGTAATTGTTACACAACTTCGATAGTCTAGACGCTCACACGGAATGCTAGACATTCGATTTCCGACCGAGTAATATTTTTTGTAATAAGAATTATTTACAGATATTAATATGTCATTCAGCACTATTAACATGTAACTAACAAGTTGTAAGATGCGTAAGAACATCGAATTGTTAAATTGTCAATTTAACGTGATATTATACTGCGGTAGTTTAGAGTTTGCGTTTCAAGACCGAAAAATCATTTTTTGTAGTTTAAAGGATTACATACGTAGTATATAAATTCACACAGAATTACATAAGCACTTATTAAGATCAAGTTGAAATTAAAGACATTTATTCCTTATTAGCTCTATAAAGCTAGCAGAACCAAATTAGCAGAATTTCCTATTGATTGTGTTTTTACATGTACAGTCCTATAAGATTTAATATTTAATATTGAAAATAAATATTATTATGCTTTGAAAAGCTCTTGAGATAAGCTGCAAGAATATGTAATAAAAAAGGGGGATTCCATTTAAAAAATTCAAAGTGACCTTGATTTGATCTTAATGACGCCACTCAAGATCAAATCAATGATACTCTTTTATATCCCTTTTCGAACCTTAAAATTTTTGTCTGAAACGTTTTTCCATATCTTATTTTTTGAGATATTTGTTTGGGGTAATTAACATTGTATATATTCAAATATATAATGGATAATTTATTTCATCTCTTATTTTGCTATATATAGGGTGTATCAAGATTTAACGGACAAATTGCAAAAGGATATTCTACAATGGAAATAAGGAAAAGATATTATAAATGAAATTTGATTAGAAATATATTACAAAGTTACAAACAAATATTAAAATGAAAACATGAAATAGGAAACAATGAATTTTCCAATATACAAAAATATGAAAGTACATTTCGGAAAGGTCGAATGTGTTTATTTCATGTATGTATATTCACATTATAATTATTATTTTTAAACGATTCAATTAAATTTTGAGACACTCTATATATGATTATATATATATTTCCTACTGTATCATATATGTATATACATATATTTGTATACATACTCGAGATTTTCAACTTTGATAAGCATTGACGTTTCACGAAATATATCTCAAAATTTTTTGCTGGATTATGAAAGTCGAATTTTCAATAAATTTTATCTATATAATTTTATATATTATCTTACGAAATTCTCTATGCAACATTTCATCAGCTGTGTTTTTATCACGTCAACAGTGTTCAACTTCAAATCGCAAGATATATTTTATGGCTCTGTTACGCAAATATATTTTATTTTCATATTGTTCGCACATAGATGTAAATAATTAGAAATTGTTATAATTTCTAGATAAATGTTTATAGATATTTTTAAATTTCATACCATAATATGCAGATCTAATTATTATTAATAATATTTAATATTATTAATAATCTTTAGTGCTGATAATCAAACATGTATTATATTATATATTAAGTATTTGAGTATTGATAAATAATTTCATTATTAATAATAATAGTAAAAATTAGTAAATATAATATTAGAAAAGCGCAGTAGATCAATAATTGCTGAATAATATGTAATAGAAGAGTAAAACTAATTATGATTACTAATTAATAATTATTAACAGCAACAACATTGATAAGAATATAATAATCACTAACGTGTATATTATGTTGTATATTTAAATATATACAACTGTACAATCTTAATTTATGTTTTATATGACAATTATACAATTAATATTATATATTTACTATGCATAGATACAAAGAATCAAAGTATAAAAAATGAAACTTAATAAATGTGTTCTGTTGTCGGGGCTCTTGTATAGGTAAACTTTGCACTGTGCACACGCAACGGTCGCCGACTTTGATCGTCATCGCACGGGTATTTGTCTCGATGACGCGTGTCTCTGACGTTGAGAATGAACGATGACAAGAAGAAAGGGGGAGGGAGGGGAGAAGACCTACTAGCAGAGAAGCAAAAGGCGTTACTCGTTTTAGAGGGGATATCTTCGTGTCTCAGGGTTATCCTTCCTCGTGTTCATTCCTTTCATTAGTCTCGCAACCGGACTCCGAGCGGTCGAATCACCGGTTCGTAGCTCGTTTCCTCTCTTCTTTCCTTCTCTCTTTCTCTCATGTTTAAGAACACCTGAGCGACACACTCAACCACGTGCGTCAACTCATCGTGGAATTTCTTCCAATTATCGTTTAGTCACACGATCGGCTATTGTCATTTTTAGACAGGCAGATTATCTCGAGTAATTTCTACGGATCTAAAGATACTGAGGAGAACGAGAAGGAGAATTCTCGAGAATTTACGCAATCCAAATCAACGCGGACATCTCGCTGAGATAGAAAGTTCGAAAGTCGCGAAAGTGCAGTGAGATACGAATATGTAAGCATAGTTGACTTCACGGAGGAAGTGTGATTTTTAAGACCACATAACTCAAAAATATATCAATGAGTACATATAGTTAAATGTTATAAAAGCTGAAAGAAAATTGAATGATCTGAAAAAAGTTAAAATGAAGTGAAAGATACAATTGAATGATATAATATAATTGAATGATAAAAGTGAAACGGAAGATTTCTTTTCTAGAAATATCGAGATGTATAGGATGAGAAACAAGAGGAAAAAAAAAGGAAATAAGAGGAAATAATTAGAAGCGAGTAGAAGAAAGGGGAAAGGGGGAGAAGAATAGAACAAATTGAAAGGAAAAGAAGTATCTCGAAAGAGCTAAAGAGAAGATAAAAGGAAAGAGAAATATAGGAAAACTGACTTCAAAGTGAGAGCGAGCAGTGCGGCCGACTTCATGCGACGAGCTTGTGCGCGACCACATGATTCGCGATTACAGTTGATTGATCGCATCGCAACATGTATGTCCTGAAGAAACGGAGATTTCTCCAGCACGATAGCACCTTGTCTGCGTGTCAAGTACGCGAGGAATTTTTGCAGCGCTATCATGAACTCTTACAACGGGTGAGTAAGTAAAGCGGCAGGGGATTATTGCCAATCAGGCAGCCAATCAAGGTCCAAGTTTATTGAGGTATATCTGTTCTGAATGGAAAAAGAAAGTGTCAGGTGTGCGATGCAAGGACAGCATTAGAAAGCGAAAGTAATTCTGGAATGTAAATCTCGAGAATTCGTCTCTTGAGCTTTTACATATACTCAACTATGCTTTCACATATACATTATATATATGTAGTTTGAAAGTTGGAAACTCGTCAAGCATGCAATTAAATATGATACATCTATTATCCATTATTTTTACTTAATTAATCTGTAGATACCGATAGTGGCACAATTTACTTTTCATCTATTCCTACTTAATTTTTATTTATTGATCTATTTCTATAACTTTTCCGTTTTATTTTTTTAATACTGTTTTTCGCACTTTTTTTCTATATCAGGACCATGATACACAAAAAGAAAACTTAAGTAGTAAAAAAGCTATCTAAGTGAATTGGCTAATTCAGTAGAAACTATAAGAGTATAATGTAAGCAGCAAATCTAACATGTTAGCTTCTTTATTTTCCGTCATAGTAATTGTAAAGCGTCGTCTACAATGAACAGTAGTAGTAGAGGCTGTAAGACACATCAAGAGTAAGCTTTTCTGTTTGATTTTCCGACCCAGCCAGAAATGATTGATCGATCAACGTCAAATCAATGCTGATTCAACATTATTTGATGTCAAATCGATATTAATTCAACATCGATCGACATTAATTCGATATTGATCGTTCAATCGCTTGTAATTAGGGATGTTAGAGGTACATAGAGTAAGTCCGTAAGCGAATGGTTGAAATTTATTTAGATTTCTAATGCCAATCGACATTTAGATTGAGCGCAGGTTGGTGAGGTAACCAAACTGAAAATTGGCTAAAAGTTGCAAGTAAATTCCAGTACTATCTTACTGCTTATGTCTTATTGCATAAGTTTTTCCTAATATTGTTATTAGCACCAATATTAGATTTTATTATCTTAATCCATTTTCTGTCATTTAAATTAATTCTGTTCTTCTAGTTTTACTTATAAAACGATATATCAGCTTTATTTTGAGAAAATTATAGCTTCAGAAGGAACAGGCCTAGAATATTGTATCTGTAGACTGGCTGGCTTGTCGCCCAGCCAAGAGATGCTAGGGAATCTTTTTAGTTCGCAGTTGACTTTATCGTTCGACGATTCGCGAGTATCACTTTACTTGGAATATCTTACTTAAATTACGATATCACGTATTATTGTACCGAGAATACTGCAATAATGTTTCATTGTTTTCCTGCGAATAGCAGGCTTGATCGTGATTTTGCAAAATTATTACGTCACAGGTTATGACTGCGAGATTAGTTAAAGAAGGTAGATCAACAAACAAATAAACTTCAAATCCAATGGCTTAAATTGAACTCTAAATTGAACTTTATAATGCAAGTTTTAATGATGACTCATAAAAGCGCTTTATCTGTTTTGATTTAAATAAAAAAAATGACTACTTATTTTAAGATATTCTGTCTATTAGTTGTGTATTATAATAAATAAATATTAATTAAAGAGAGAAAGAATATAAGAAGACAAAATTACACTATGGTAGAATCCAAGTTTTGTTTTCGAAAATAAATGTGACGTAACATTTAATGTCAAGGTATGCACAGCTGTAACGATCTCGATTTTCTTTGTAAAATTTATGTGATGAGAAAAGAAGAGAGAAATATAAATATTTTGTTATTTGTACAATATCCGTTATAACGTTCTTTAATATTGTTCTTATAAAATGTTTAAATAATACTGAATATTTATAAAGCAATATAATTATAAAAATAATTATATTGCTTTATAAATGAAATAAAAGATAAACAGTTGAATAAAAGTTAAAAGTATGTTTAGTGAAATCTTTATATAAAGATAAAAATATATTTTGAAGATTATTAAATTAATGGTTTTTGTTACAAAGGTCGAGTCGCGGGTCCGATACACTAGGCTTTGAGTTACAACACATTAGTTTTGTAAAAGAATGTTTGTAACACAATAGTACCATTGTACACAGATCTGATTACCTTCGTCGAAACGTAGCAGTATAATAACTTTACTTCTGCTACGATAAGCAATCTAAGCGATTCATATATATATGTGCGTGCCTGCGTGTGTGTGTGGGTGCGTGTGTGTGTGTACGCATGTGTGAGTTAAGAAAAACGTAGTCGACAATAATCTTATCATCTAGTCATCGATCGATATTTGCATTAAGGATCAGATAAAGAGAGAGATTGTTTTGATATTCACTATCAATACTGAAAATGTATAATATATGTACGTGCACTGTGGATTTTCAACATATACTAGTGATCTGTTCTTGCACTAGAATTCTCTTTCCCGCTTTCGATAAATATCAAATACATACCTATTTCATTTTAAGTTCCAAAAATTCTAATTCAACAGACTTTAGCAATGAATATCAATGGGTAACCATAATTGCTCGAAAATAGATAAAAAAATGTTTGTAAAAATATATCATAGAAATTCTATGAATTCCCAATTGATATAAAGAATGATAAATTTATAAATAAAATGATGCAAATATTTTTGACAACAAATTTACAAATATCTATATGCTCTTAAATTATTATCATAAATAATTGTTAGACAGATTAAATGTACATGTAGATTAAATATACATATATTTATATAATTATATACTATTTACGATTTATTATCAAGGACAACTAATATTAATTCTGGGAGAATAGTTTATTTCTTATGAAGATTTTATTAATGTACTTTTTAATTTTTATTAGTATTTTTATTAATATAAATTTTTATATAGACTTAAGTTTTTATTTTAAAATGTGAAATAAAATTTATTCATTGAATAAAGGAAGATGTTAAAAAAGTTTTTTTCAAAAAGATATAAATGTGTAAAAGAAAAAAAAATTTTTTTTTTTAGGTTTTGACTTCCTGGATATATGATAAAATTATGAAAAAATTCGTATCGTTGAGGAACACTTAAAAAATTGAGTTTTTGTTTTTTGCCTAATTTTCAAGACATTCCCCAAATGTCATGAACTTTTTAATAACTTGTATCCAGAAAGTCAAAATATTCAAAAACACACTTTCTTTAACTGACATTTCTTATTGAGTCCTTTTTTAACATCCCCTAAAAAAAGACTGATTTTTGCCCTAAAAGATGTATAAGTAAAAAAAAGGTGTTTTGATCTTCTTTTGATCTCTTGGATACGATAAAATTATTTAAAAGTTTGGGAAACACTTAAAAAATTAGACAAGAATGTTGATATTTGAATAAATGTACCATGTTCGTACTCCATTTTCAAGATGTTCTCTACAAACTTTTTAATAATTTTATCTTATTCAGAAAGTCGAAATTTAAAAAAAAATATTGTTTTATTTATACCTTTTTGGACAATTGACTCTTTTAATTTTCTCCTTTACGTAAATATATGTACCATAACGTCACGTTATATTTGATATATATGTGATAATGTCATTTATAAGTGTGATATTATATGTAGATGATAATGTTACCCCCAGCAAATGAGAATGGATTGAAATGAATTGAAATGGATTCAGATTTTTAGAAATATTGATTCACGAATGTTAAAATGAATTCTTTTCAATTCTGAATGCATTTTTATTCATTTATAGGAATTGCATGTCTCTGGAGCATATCTCTATGTCTTTCAATCTAAAAATAATATTAGTTTTTTTCTGTGCACACAACAAACATTATGGATACTGTTCAATTCAGAATTTTGAATAGGAAATGCAGTTTTTCAATCCAATTGAATCTAATTGAATACAATTGAATCCAATTAAATCCAAAAAAAGTATTCGCTATTTAAAATACGCATTCGGATAGAAAAAATTTTCAATACATTTTAATCCATTCTCGTTTACTGGCCTCTATCAGAAGTTAGATTGATTAACTCCATGAAATAAAAAAGTAGACAGTTGTTAAAATTCTACATTCTAATTTGTACTATAATTTTTTTTTTTTTACAGTATATGGATATCGGAGAGGACATTGGCGTCCCCGAAGAGTTCACAAAGGGCGAGATGGTGTCTGGAATGTGGTGGCGACATTTAGTATCTGGCGGAATAGCAGGTGCCGTATCACGTACTTGCACTGCGCCCCTAGATCGTATCAAAGTCTATCTACAAGTAAGCATTTGCATGATTTTTTTT